AGACATGTAAGATAACAAATAAATATTTCGTCAACTTCATACTTTATAGTCTTTCAAACTTAACATCTTTAAAACACAGTTCAAAGGGAAAATAAATAAATATCCCAAGAATAATAAGAATAATAGTTGCTAGAAATGTACCTTTCAATATTAATTTAAATTCACTTTATGAGAAAAAAAAAAAGGATGGAGTGTTATAAGCAAACGCCCACTGTAAAAACTTTTTAGAAAAACTACTTACAAAAAAAAAAAAAAAATAAATAAATAAAGCAAAACTTTTCTCGAAAAACCATTTTAAATCATTTTTTTTTTGACATTTTCCAAATTATTTCTACAAAACTGCAGACACGTATCATTTGTGTACTTTCAATTCATCTATCATTTTTTAGCATACTCTTATTATGAACAGTATTTGCAACGAAGTTATTGCATTTAATTTACATAAAAATTTATCATAATGAAAACTTTAGAAACTTTTAATTTTTCACTTCTTTTTTTTTTCTTCTTCCTCATGTAATGATAAATGCTTATCGCAAATAATATAATCATTGCTGTTCGAGAGGGAAAATGATGAGCAAATTGCCGGATAAGTGAAAATATTAGGCTGCATTACACAAATGATAAATTGCAGACACTTAATAATCGTCAACTTATCTCGGGCATCAAAAAATGACCTTTGTTTTTTTTTTTGTCATACACAGTCGATATATCTCTGCAAACTACAGTTACCCGCAGTATCACCCAAAAATAGTAAATCTTGACGTACATTCCAATGTATTTTGGCAGTTTAGCCCTTACCGATAGGCACGGTATAAAAATTTGATCCGGCTTTTGAAACAATTCTTATTAATGAGTGGTTAATAAGGTTGTGGGAAATGTTTTCATTTGCGATCCTGGCTTTAAGCACTACTCTGTCTTCAGATAAGCTTCCATCATGTGAAAGTTGCAGAGATGAAACAGAAGAAGGATCAACAGGAATACTGGTTGTAAAAGAATTTCAGCGACCGAGGCAAACCAATTTTTGGATGATCGTCTCTGCATCCATAAGGGTTCACAGTTACCGACAACTAAGCTCTCGATTTAGCGACTTGTTTGCCGACTGTTGATCCTAAAATTCTCCAAGCGCGATAGCTATATAATTAAATTTTGAGCTGCTATTTTTGGCGGAGGGAAAAATAAGATTGGAAGGATAATATTTTATCAGCGCTCAATTTTTTTCGTCTTTAGTTTATTCTTGTTTCGGTCTTTCTTTTATTCTGAGCCCTTCTTTTAAGGTTGTTTTTAAAGGTAGTATATTACTATAGTAACTGTTTGTTTAGTCGTTTTTAAAGTATATAACTTGTTTCTCTTTTCGTGTAGGTCTGTAGGCGTCATCTTTCCGAGTCTGCAGCTTTCCAGTTGTTGAAACATTGGAATCATTGCTGTAACACGTGCAGTATACTGTTGCTTTAACAGTTGTTTAGTGACAACACACTTCAAAATTATGTTTCCGAGTTGATGTTGTGAAAAAATAAGCTACAGAGCCTGTTTTAAAAATACAAATATTTTTATTCATAGTTAATTGATGCACTAAAATGGTACTGTGTGTGACGAAGTCGGGCATCATCTAGCAAAACGGGTAAATTCTGGAAATGAAGGAAAAAAGTCGGCGTTGTTCCCAAAAAATAAAGGTGAAGCATCTTACACTGTGTGAAAACGAAGCAGACAACAGTTTAAAATGTTTCGTGAGCACTCGAGTATTTTGAAGTGAAAAATTATTGAGTTTCTCGATGTTTTGACCATCTGTCTACTTTGATAATTTAAAGCTTTGTTTCAGAGGTGTCATTTTCTTCGTCATAGCTACAAGTATTAGCTTTCTTAACCAGTGGCGCTTTTTGATTGTTCGTGATCTGTTCTCGTGTTTTTCTTTTCCTTTCATTCGCACCGCTTATATAACTTTCACTTTACTGCTTTTCAAATTTGTTGCACTTTCTGTATTTTAGGACTAATTCTAGAAAATGGCTGACGAAATCGCAAGAGTCCAGCAGTATGAGTACAGACAGGTTATTTTATTGTTCGATAAATTGTCTTTTCTAAACACTTCCATTATGCAAGTAATTAATGGAGCTTCTGAATACTTTTTAGTTTATTATTGGTCTGAATTTCGGCAGCAGTTCTTTTGCCATCAGATGATGAAATCAATTTATCTTGCTTTTTATCAAGACAAACTGTGGCTTTTGTCGTACTTCCAATTTTGTTGTTTAAGAACAGCAACCTCGTACTTCAAGTGGATTTCAATTTTACTGACAGACGCGGAAGAGATGAGCCCACAGGCGAGGTTATGCCGTTGACTAAAGCTATACTTTCTGGTGTGAAGATGGGCGATAAATATCAGCGGGCAAAAGCTCAATTGCCTGACCAGAAAAAAGTAAAAAGGTATCTGTAAATTTCGTTGGAAATAGGATGGTGCTTATTGAATTTTAATACTAGGATTACGAGACCCTCGCTGATTTTTT